TAGCCAGTTGAGCTATAGGCGCCGAGCCCAGCAGGGCTTTCATTGGCCTCTCTGAGGCAGCCCTTTGTATGGGATGGGGACAAAAGCCCCAGCCCAGCCCTCAACTGGGCAAAAAACTTGGTTCCACTTGTCATGGATGTAGGTAAGGGAGTCTGTGGTTGTCAGGTTTCACATCAGACCTCCATAGCTTCACAGGGAAACAGGGAGGGCTGGGAAAGGGCCCTAAAGACCCAGAAAATGGATGCAGCTCTGACCTCTAAGAAAGAAGCCTCAGACAGTCCCTGGGTCAGAGCTAGAGTCAGAGTTAGTGGGGAGAGTACAGGGACTTGCCAGTGTCCTGGGCTCTGGGTTTTGCTTCTGATTCCTGACCCCCACCCCAATGTAGAGTGGGGTTTTGGACTAGCACAACTGATCCACAGCCATCTTTGAGGATCTCATGAAACCCATACCACAGAAAAATGCACATAAAAACTTTTATTTTTATTTTTGGACAATCTCACTCTGTCACCCTGGATAGAGAGTACTGTGACGTTAAAGCTCTCAGCACCCTAAAACTCTTGGGCTCAAGCGATCCACTTGCCTCAGCCTCCCAACCAGCTGGGACTACAGGTACCTGCCATAGCACCCAGCTAGTTTTCCTCTTTCTTAGTAGAGATGGGGTCTCACTTTTGCTCGGGCTGGTCTTGAACTCCTGAGCTCAAACAATCCACCCACCTCAGCCTCCCAAAGTGCTAGGATTACAGGTGTGAGCCACTGTGCCCAGTTTCACACAAAAACTTTTAAATAACTAGGGGTTCAAGATACTCAAATCTCCCCGTACTCAAGTTAAGAGCCTCTGGGCTAGGTTATTGCTAGAAGCACTTCCATTTCAGTCGTTCTCGAAAGGCTCTGGCCTCCAGATTTTCAGTCTAGTGCTCTTTTGCTCTTTTCCTGGGACCTTGACCTCGGCTGGCCTGGTTGTGGGCAGAGCCTTGAGCAGGGCTGAATTTTCATACCCCTCTCCCAGGTGGTGGCTGTAGTGATGGATGTATTCACCGACATGGAGCTTCTGTGTGACCTGATAGAGGCCTCAAGCCGGCGTGGTGTCCCTGTCTACCTGCTCCTGGCCCAGGAGCACCTAAAGCATTTCCTGGAGATGTGTTACAAGATGGACCTCAACGGGGGGCACCTGCCGGTCAGTGGGGACCAATGGCAGTAACCAGGGGTGCGAGTTGGGAGTCAGGGTGGGCAGAGGAGCCAGTTGGATGGTCAGTGAGCCCTGGGGGTGAGTGGGAGTGGGGAACAGGGCTCCCTTAGCTGTTGGGGGTCAGGGACTCCATGGGGCACAGAATGGCTTGAGACCCACTCTCTCAAGGTCACCCCAATCTATCCCCATCCTTGACCCAGAACATGCGTGTGCGGAGCACGTGTGGGGACACGTACTGCAGCAAGGCAGGCCGCCGCTTCACTGGGCAGGCCCTGGAGAAATTTATCCTCATCGACTGTGAGCAGGTGGTGACAGGCAGCTACAGGTGAGCAGCAGCAGGAGGGCAGAGGGGCCTGGGCTGTGCACTGGCTGGCATAAGTACCTGGGCTCCAGCAACTTTGAACTTCCCTCCATTCATCCCTCCCTCCGACTCAGATGGAAGCACCTGCCATGTGCCAGGCCTTGTCAGGGTCTGGGACAGGGTGGGGGGCAAGTCAACTGTGGAGGAGCTCACTCTAGTGGAAGGATCATTTTAAAGCCCTTGACACAGAAAATACCTATTGCGTGTTGGAAATGGAGGGGTGGTCCATTTTACAGATGGAGAATTTGGGGTCCAAATCCATCAAGCAGGGTTGAGATGAGCACAGACTCAAGTTAGAGCTCTATTCTGTCACTGCGAGCCCTCACGGTGGCAGAATTTGGGTTAGTTTCTGGGTATGCTTCCCTGGCTGTGATCCCTCAGGGGTGAGCCTCAGGGTCCTGCACCTAGCCTCCTGACCGCAGCCTCTGCCCCCAGCTTCACCTGGCTTTGCAGCCAGGCCCACACTAGCATGGTGCTGCAGCTGAGGGGCCGCATTGTGCAAGACTTTGACCGGGAGTTCCGCTGTTTGTATGCTGAGTCACGGCCTGTGGAGGGCTTCTGCGGTGGTGAGGATGCACTGACTCCCCGGGTACCACCTCCTCCCACAGATGCCCTGGTCTTCGGGCCTGACATCCCAAACTCTACATCTTCCTCACCCTCCAGTACCAGCCTCAGCAGCATCAAGCGCTCACCTCTCATGGGCCACTCCTCCTACCTCGCTCTACCAGGAGGTGGTGGCTGCAGTGATATGGGTATGGGGTCCTCATCCCCCAGCCCTGCCCGCCGTGAGGCCAGTGGCCAGCCCTCCCTGCATCGCCAATTGTCTGACCCTAACCGTGGCTCCCCTTCTGGGTTCTACAGGGCCAACCTGGGCAAACTAGGGGCACACCCATGGTCCCAGTCCTCCCCTGCCCTCAACTACAATGGCACCAGCTCCTTGACCCTGGCAGTGGGGTCACCTCTGCTTCCCCGCTCCCGGCCCCTCCTCCATTTCCCCCGGGCTATTCCAGTTCTGTCCCAGCTCCCAGAGAATGGGCTCCCAGGAAGTCAGGAGCCTAGCCCCCCACGAGATCGCCAGGTACCTGGTAAAGCCCTGGAGACAGTGGAGAAGAAGTCATCGCTGAGTCAGAGCCATGGCCAGCTAGATCTCCTTGTGCCCTTCCCCAGAGCCCGAGAAGCAGGAGACCCCAACTCTAGGGTTTCCCCTAACTCCGGCTCCCTTCGGCCTGGTGAGCAGGCCCCAGAAGACAGAAGGTTGTTCCCAGGCCAGAGTGACAGCCAGTTGGATCTCCTGCCCCAGGCTCAGAGTGCAGGGGTTGCCCCTGAGTCAGGTCCCTTTAGACCTGGTGATCAGTCCCCAGAGGACAGGAGGCTGTCTCTAAACCATAGCCAGGGCCAAGTGGACCTCCTGGTGCAGTACCCCAAGGTCCAGGGCTTCAGAGTAATCCCTGAAGCCAACTCCTCATCCAGGCATCCAACCAAGCAGCATCCAGATGAGCGACGACAGACCCTGGGCCACAGCCAGCTTGATCTCATCACAAAGTTCGGCCCATTTCGGGTGGAGGGGCCTGGGCCCAGTGGTCTCCCAGGACCAAGCCCTGCTCGTATGGCTGCAGTGGGCTCTGGGGAGAAGCGGCTGACTCTGGGCCACAGCAAGCTGGATCTCATCACCAAGTATCATCAGTTGCAGGGTGCCAGGCAGGGACCTGAGCCTGGCCTCCTTGGGGGTCCTACAGGTGGCCATCGCAATGGTAATAGCAATGACCTGTTTAGGGATGAGAAACGGCTGACCTTGGGCCACAGCAAACTGGACCTCATAACTAAATACAATAAGTCCAAGTTCAAGTTGCTCCGAAGTCGCTTTGAGTCCTAGCCCTGCTTTTGGCAAGGACAGGTCCTTCCTCCATCCATCTGATTCTGGACTTGCTCAGGTCCCAAACTCTGGGTAAAGCTAGAGTTTAAAAACCGAGGTCAGACACACTTTCTGGGCTTAGATTTTTTTTTTTCTTGAGACATGGTCTTGCTGGGCTAGAGTGCCATGGCCTCAGCCTACCTCACAGCAACCTCAAATTCCTGGCTCAAGTGATCCTCCTGCCTCAGCCTCCCATGTAGCTGGGACTATAGGCACCCACCACCACACCGACTAATTTTTCTATATTTAGTAGAGATGGGGTCTTGATCTTACTCAGTGTAGTCTTGAACCCCTGAGCTCAAGGGATCCTCCCACCTCAGCCTCACAAAGTGCTAGGATACAGATGTGAGCCACCATGCCTGGCCTGGGCTCAAGATTCTTGCTTATACAAGCATGAGCACACACAAACACACACAGGGAAATGAAACCCACAGTTATTGGGTGTCCACTGCATGCCACAATGCTGGGCACTTCACACCAGGTACTTCTTCTCATTCTTCATCCTCAAATATCCTACACGACGGACCACTTGTAGGTACGTAACTATAGGATAATAGATGTTATCCTGCCTTAGAAGCTGAGGCTCAGAGAGTTTAAATGACTTACCTGGAGTCAAGTCAAAGCTGAGTAGGGATCCAGACCTGTGTCTAAAGATTGTCCTTTTTGCACACAAGATACAACATCCACAATTCACATATCCCTTACACACAAAATATTCACATTACAGAAATGCCCCCAAAGTCCATAAATATACACAGCATGTTGACAGGGCACATATACACAAACCGCATAACCACAGCCACACACACTCTGCACACAGAGGTCCATGTGAGAAGCCAGAACACCCAGAATTTTAGTTGCAGGTTCTCAGTAAATGTCATTTGGCTAAATGGCTACAGAAAACACCTGCACTCAGTGTACACTGTAGACAGCCTCAGGATCTACAAACTTTGCCCATAATCTGCCCCCCCACACACACACACATACACCCAACTGGTACCTTCTTGAACCTAAGCTGTTTCCAGCCCTGCGCAGGGCATACCATAGGGCTGACAAGTAAATCAGACAGAGACCCTAAGGACAAAGATGAAATGCATAAGCCATTTGGAGAACAAGTCAGAGCTGCATGAAGTTAAAGGCTAACCAGTGACAGAAATTAAAGTACAAAGAGTCTGGAGATGGTGGAGTGGTCAGGAAAGTTTCCTAGAGGAGGCAGCCTTTGAGTCAGGCCTTGAAGTATGAGGAGGTTTTGGGCAGAGTGGTGAGAGTAAGGGAATTTTTGGTAGAGGGAACTGGGTGAAGAGATGACCAAGAGAGGACTGAGTCAGTGGGCTGAGGCAAACTGGGGAGGACAAGTGGAGCATGTGGATAATCACATCCAAACACACACACACTCATCCTCATCTTCATCTTGCTGAGTGTCTCTTGAAGTATGGACTGTAACAGGTTGTGAGCCCTTTTCCTGAGCTCAGTGCCTGCCTGGAAGAGTACTCATGATACAAATCAATAAAGCAGATATGACCCAGCAGCAGCCTGGTGTATCCTGAGCTGTGCGGAGTTATGAAATGGGCACATTCAAAGTAGGGGAAGAGCACCATTCAGGCCAATTTTGGAGGGCGGGGTGGAGGAGAGTGAATGGTCAAAGGAGGGCTGGGGGTTGAGGGGACTAGGGACTCCAAGCTGTGACATTCTGGGAAACGCTGGGGCTTTTGTAGATGCTACAAAATGTGGACCAAGTTCATCCTGTCCAAGAGAGCCAGGCCTTTGTCACCATTATCCTGGGGACAGAAGGTGGCTATTCAGTGAGCGGTAGAGGCTGTGACACTCTCATCCTTGCCCACCCTGAACCCCTTTCTCTCCAACCTCTCTCTAAGACCCTGCTTCATCCATCTTCCCCTCTCTCCAATACCTTCTTTGGTCTGGTTTCAATTACTTCTCTGGCTGTGCCTCCTTGTCCAGCCTCTTTGTCCTAGTTTCACTTCTCCCTTCTGGAGACTCTCTCCCTGGGCGACCTCGTCCATCCCAGGCTTCAGACCCTCATCTTCTTCCAGAGATTGGGCTCCAAATCTGGACGTCGGTCCCGCATGGCCAGGGTGGACTCATCACTTCCCCAAATGGGCCCTTCCTCCTCTGGCTAAATAACTCTGGTAAATACCTCAATCGTCAACCCATCTTCTGGGAGACATCTCTGGTTCCGCCTCTCCTTCATGCCTCACATCCACCAGCCGCAAATCTAAAAAACTCCTGAATGAAGAATGAATGAACGCTTGCAAGCAAGCTGGGGGCGGGGCCCGGCGGGGCCGAGTCCTGACCTTTGTAACCATAGAGTCCTCCCGGAGGCTGAGGTAGAGGGGCCGCATGCGTGGCTGGACGAGCAGGCCCTCCCGGAAGTCTGGGCGGAGGCGGAAATGGAAACATTTTAAGGGAGTCGGAGGGGCTGGTGTGTCGTGTGGAGCTTGCGGTTGCTCAGTGAGTTGGTGTGAGGGAGACCGGAAGGGTCAGGTCCGGATCTCGAATCGGGAGGAGTAGGGGCTGGAGAATTCAGGGCCCGAGAGCCTAGAGGGGCCCAGCGGGCGGGACCTAAGGTCTGTGAGAGGCCAAGAGGGGCGCGGTCGCGGCGGGGCCGAAGGGGCAGAGGTCGCGTTACCAGGGAGGGAAGCCACCGACCCTGAACTCTCATTCCCGGCCCACGACTCCTAGTCTCATGGCGGTCAGAGCGTCGTTCGAGAACAACTGTGAGATTGGCTGCTTTGCCAAACTCACCAACGCTTACTGCCTGGTGGCCATCGGAGGGTCAGAGAACTTCTACAGGTGCGTCAGGAGCCCCCGGGCTCGCGGTGGCGGGGAGGGATGCCGGGAGTCGAGAGCTTAGGCAGAGTGAGGGTACCGGCCCCTCAGCTACATGACCACCGAGTTCTTATCTCTGCAGTGTGTTCGAGGGCGAGCTCGCTGACACCATCCCCGTGGTCCACGCATCCATCGCCGGCTGCCGCATCATCGGGCGCATGTGTGTGGGTAAGGCCGGTGGAGAGCCCTGAGGGAGGAAGTGGAGCCTTAGAGGGGACCACAACGAAACCTAAGAATGTCCAGGCTTTCATCCATTACCTCTGGGGACTATAGGGTCTTTCAGTGTTAGGTAAGACCTAGCAGATCAGGGCCACCTCTGCCAAAGGCTCTGAGTAATAGTAGTAACATCAATCGCTTTCACTCTTGTTCTCATTCCTTCTTAACAAAGACACTGGGATGTCGAGATTAATTTGACCGATGAGGAAGCTGAGACTCAGCCTAGATGACTCACCCAGTTCCACACCTAGTTTAGAGGAGGATTTGTATTTCATCTCCTCCCTTTGCCACTGACACAAGCAAGTTGCCACCTGCTTCTGACTATCCATTTATGCCTCTATAAAAGGATTAGTTAAGATTCCAGGTTATCCTGCTCAGTTACACTTGAATCTTAAAGTCCCTTTACCACATCCCTATCCTACCTCCCTGGCTTTCAGCACCTTTGACTCTAGCCGTTGGTCCTTTCTTTAAGCTGGACGTCACTCTTTGTTTGATCTGCCACTCTTTGATTCATAGTTCTGTTCATTAATATCATATAGAAGTCTGATTATTTCTTACTTTACTTTTTTTTTTTTTTTCACTCTTAAGCCTGGTGACCTATAAGTTTGTCTTATCAGATTAAAACATCGTGATTTCTAGTCAAGCCCTTAGGACTTGAAGCAAGCTCTGACAGAACAAGGGAGAATTTAGCCTGGCCTTGAGTTACTATAGTAATTCACTGTAATTGTATAACACTTAGGAGTGGAATGGCAAAGCCACAGGTTATGTAACTATACAATGTAGTAGGTGGTGCCAGATAATTATCTGAAGCAGTTAACCAATTCATACTCCTGTCAGAGTGTACAAGAATTTCAGTTGCTTCCTACATTTTACCAACATTTGACATTGATGGTCTTTTAAGAATTTTAGCTAGTTTTATAGATGTGTGTCATTAGTTCAGATGTTTAGTTGCATAATATACAACTAATGCTGAAAGCCCTTCCTATTCTGCTCCCCCCAGTTGATGATGGTAAAGTAGCGGGTTTTGTTGGAACAAACTCCTGGGCCATCTCTGGCCTTTCCGTGTGACCCCTAGTCCCTCTGGATGTTGAATGGATCATTGGGTTGGAGGCCTGGGGTCTGAGCCTGAAGTTTTCCTGGGAAAGCAGATTGGGCTGGGCAGGGTTGTATCCTCAGCCCCTAGGGCTCAGCAGGCATCTTGCATATTCATGGTTCATCTTTGCCCCATCTTCCAACTTGGGTCTCTTCAGGGAACAGGCACGGTCTCCTGGTGCCCAACAACACCACCGATCAGGAGCTGCAACATATTCGCAACTGCCTCCCAGACTCAGTGCAGATCCGACGGGTGGAGGAGCGGCTCTCAGCCCTGGGCAATGTCACCACCTGTAATGACTACGTGGCCTTGGTCCACCCAGACCTAGATAGGGTGAGGCAGCCTAACTTTACCCGAGTCAGAGGATCAAGGTGCTAACCTTCTTTCCTAACAGGCAGGAATTGGGAGTATCTCTTATAGTTTCTTTTTATATATGGCCTCTGGAATTTCAGGCAGTCATTGGAATAGTGATAGTAGAGGCCTTCCATGGTGTAGTCAGTGTCAGAAAGAAACTGGGGGGAGGGTATTAGTCCTCACAATTTATCCTGCAGCCTAGGCCAGGATAAGTGATTCACAGTTGAACTTTTGACTGGGTTAGAGGGAAAAGGGTGACATGAGGACCAGCTGTTCAGAGCATGCATGGATTTTAGGTACTCTGGAGCTGGCCTAAACTCTGCTCTAAGCTGTATTCCCTCTTTTCTCTGATTGAGGCTTTCATATGAGGTACAAAGCAGAGAAATGAGGGGGTTAGCAAGCCAAGCCTGTGTGATCCTGGGCATGGAGAGCCCTAGCTCTTTGGCTGTAAATTCTGGGCCCTGAACACAGCTCCTTTGGCTGACAGGAGACAGAAGAAATCCTGGCTGATGTGCTCAAGGTAGAAGTCTTCAGACAGACAGTGGCTGACCAGGTACTAGTAGGAAGCTACTGTGTCTTCAGCAATCAAGGAGGGCTGGTACATCCCAAGACTTCAATTGAAGACCAGGATGAGCTTTCTTCTCTTCTTCAGGTTCCCCTTGTGGTAAGCATTGATGTCCTCTGACCCCTGTCACCTTCTGAGGCAGATCCCTTTGCCCAGTGTTCAGGAATCTGGATCATTACCTGCAACCATCTGGGATTGGGGCTAGAGGTTAGGGAGCAGAGTTTGGGGAGAATCCTCATCAGGGAGGGGAGAGACTTTGGTGCCATAACACACGGCCCATCCCTTGGCAGGCAGGCACTGTGAACCGAGGCAGTGAGGTGATTGCTGCGGGAATGGTGGTGAATGACTGGTGTGCCTTTTGTGGCCTGGACACAACCAGCACAGAACTGTCAGTGGTGGAGAGTGTCTTCAAGCTGAATGAAGCCCAACCTAGCACCATAGCCACCAGCATGCGGGATTCCCTCATTGACAGGTATGGGGATGGGGGTGAGGGTCTTCTCTCTTCTGCCCAGGGCAATGACTCCCTTGCCATCTAGAATGGGAGCCACATTGTGTTTATATTGACAGCTTCTCCTTGTATGATAATGGGTCTCCATGCTACTGAGCAGTTACAGGATATAGCCAGCAAATATTTTATGAGCATCTGCTAATCCTCATCTTTGAAGACTCACCTCATTATCTCCTATTTAGGCAAACTTTCTCTATGGTCTTTCTTATTTGATCACTGATCGTGTTACTTTGCAGTTTTTATTTGTCTATATGTCAGTATCCCCAGCCAGTAGCTGAGGGCCTGAGACAGAAAAGAGCTATTTGCTGAGGTAGGAAGGGTACTCTTAAACACTGAAGAGACCCTCAATTCTTACAGAAGCTCTTGGACTGGGTAGGGGATGGGTATTGCATCAATATCACAATCTGGGTTTTTGTGGGTTAAAAAAACAAAACAAGCAGGGAACAGTGGTTCATGCATGTAATCCCAGCATTTCTAGAACCCAAGGTGGGTGGATCACATGAAAACAGCCTGGACAATGTGGTGAGACTGTCAATACAAAAAAAATCAAAAATTAGCCATTAGAGGCGTGGTATTTCTGTAGTCCTAGCCACTCAGAAAGGTGAAGTGGGAGGATCACTTGAATTCAGGAATTTAGGGTTACAGTAAGCTATGATGGTACCACTGCACTCCAGTCTGGGTGACAAAGTGAGACTCTCTCTAAAAAAAAACAAACAGAAATAATAAATATGTACTTCCTTTTTTTTTTTTGTACTTTTGTTTTATAATCGTGCACATGATTATTGCTTCCGGGAAGAATGTTTTTACTTAACTTTTACTGGGCAGATCTCTTTCTACCTGGTATTCATGGCCTTTCATGTTTAGTTAGAACTAATAATTAGGGAGAGTTCTGGAAAAGGAGGCCAAAGTTCTGGCCCCATGGGGGTATTTGTGATCTGGGTACGTCTCTTCCCCTTGCACCCCCTTATTCCTTACTCTGATGTTCAGTGAATTTGCCCTCTGAAACTCTGGTTTATGAGCAATAATTTGAATAAATCAGCTCAGCGCCTGTAGCTCAGTGGCTAGGGCGCCAGCCACATATACCAGAGCTGGTGAGTTCAAATCTAGCCCGGGCCTGCCAAACAACAGTGACAACTATATCCAAAAAATAGCCAGGCGTTATGGCGGGTGCCTGTAGTCCCAGCTACTTGGGAGGCAGAGGCAAGAGAATGGCTTAAACCCGAGTTTGAGGTTGCTTTGAGCTGTGACACAACAGCACTCTACCCAGGGCAACAGCTTGAGACTCTCTCAAATAATAATAATTTGAATAAATCATTAAGCAGGTTAATCCAAGAAATTATTGAAGGAATTACTTTCATTCTTTAAGCATTGAGAGTTCTAGACTGGATGAAGTTAAACGTGGAACCAGGATGGGGCTGGGTGGGACTTGAGTGTAACTCTTCAGGGCTGAGCTAGAACAAAGGCCCAGGCGTTAGGGTGGAAGAAAGCACCTTGGGGATGGAAGGTGTCCTGTGCTGTAAACAGCTACTGACATTGCTCTTTCCTCTCTCTTCAGCCTCACCTGAAGTCACCGCCATGATGTTTTGTGGGCTCCTGGCTTTGGACTTTGGCTCCCTCCCCATGCCCCACCTAATCTGTACCGGATGCTGGCTGGGAGGTGGCAGAGGGCTCAGTGGAACTGAGTGGCTACTTATCCAGCCCCTTTTCATCTGTGCCAGTATCCGGAATCTATTGTTGCTCCAAAAACCTGTTATGTTTTGGCTGTTAGACCTTGTGGCTCCTGGCTGAGGGTTCTGCTGTCCTGTGCCGCCCCATTAAAGTACAGCTGCCTCTGACCTTTCTGATTGTGATGTTTGAGGGCCTTAGCCTGTGTGCAAATTGTCCCATGCCCCAGGGTCCTAGGAATATTGGATGGGATGGAAACACACACCCAGTTCCTCATCTCTACACACACATTCCCCTCTCGATCATCATCTGGCACAAGTGGAAACACGCCACTGTAGTTATATTTTTCACTCATCTGTCCCGGTCTTCTGTGGCTTTCAAAGGATGAGGATCTGTTCCAATTTTCCCCTGGGCTGGTGTGCCTTAAGTCTTGTCTCCTTGAATCCACACCACAGGCTAGGCGCCTGTGGCTCAAGCGGCTAAGGCGCCAACCACATACCCCTAAGGTGGCAGGTTTGAATCCAGCTGGGGCAACAACAATAATGGCTGCAACCAAAAAATAGCCGGGCCTTGTGGCTGGCGCCTGTGGTCCCAGCTACTTGGGAGGTTGGGCCAGGAGACTCACTTGAGCCCAGGAATTGGAGGTTGCTATGAGCAGTGAAGCCATGGCACTCTACCCAGGGGACAGCTCGAGTCTCTGTCTCAAAAAAAAAATCCACACAACAGTCTCTCTTTTCCGTGAGAGCTCTGGGGCACCTGATTTCAGGGCAGTGCTGGGTGGATGTTGGCTGCTGGTCCCGTTGGTGGGTTGCTCAGGCGAGGAACTGCGGGTCAGCTCTTCCGGACCCGGAGGGAGCATTGAGCGGACCCGCGTTGGGAGTTGTTGCGGCGCCATCAACATTGGGCTACGCGCGGGGCGGGGCCTCGGGGCGTGGTACGGGATTGGCCGGCCTTGTTCGCTGGGCTCCGCGCCCGGTTGGAAGTGCGGGTTTACGCTGCGGCGGGGGCGAGGTGGGTGCGTGGTGACGTGGCGGCACCGGTTCCTCCAGCCGTGCGAGGCAGGCAGCGGGGGACCCACGGGTACAGCTGCGCAAGGTGAGGGCGGGCGGAATGGGGGACTGGGTGGGGGTTGCCTTGGCCCAGGCCTGAAGGCACCTTGGGGTGCCTTCTCGTCCCCGCAGACCATGGGGGCTCAATTGAGCAGCGGCCAGGGTAACCCGGAGCCGGCGCAGCCCCAGCCCCAGCCTGCGGCACCAGAGGGCCCAGTGCAACCCCAACCGCGGCCTCAGCCCGAGCCCAGCCCGTGGGGACCGCTGGACGACGTGCGCTTCCTCATCGCCTGCACCTCCTGGTACTGACTCGGCGTTCTCCGGAGGATGCCGCCCGCCGCCGCCCCATGTTCTCCTTGCCAGTGTTCGTGTGTCTTATGCCCTTCTCCCACACTCTGCGCACTGGGGACTACAGAAGTCAAAGGGGCTGCTAAGGATTAGAAGTCCCACTGGCAAGGCCGTCTCCTCAGCCTCACTCCCAGCCTGCTTCTCATACTGCTCCCAAAGCTAGCTCAGATCCTCATGCTTACTCTATCCCCTTCTCCAATTGTCTGGGTCCTGGGGCATCCCTCCCTGGCCCTGGTCCAGTACCAGGCCAGGGATTCTGGGAAGAGCCTGATGCTGCAGATCTCCTGACCTCATCTTCCCCTTATCACTGAGAACCAAGCTCTTATCTGTTTCCCAGGTCATGGCATCATGGGCCTTGACGTCAGAGGTGTCCTTGCTACAGTGAACCTCCCCTACTCCTGAGGGTAGCTGTGCCCTATCCTGGTATCGAAATGAAGCATCATCCGGCTGTATTTCTGGGCCCCCGGTAACAAAGACTGCCAGGGTCAGCCTTTTGGAGACAAGGACATCTGACTGCTGATTTGGCAGATGAGATTCGTGGGGCAGCTACAGACACTTCAGAGTACCCTGTTCTCCCAAAATATTCTCTAAGTTCGTTCTTAGAACCTGATTTTTGTCCCCACATCCCAGGAAAATGACACACTCTGTATTTCTGTTTTATTTAGAAATGATTTAAAAAACATTATACAAAGGCTGATCAGTTTAAAATGTGACTGACACTGAAATGCTGTGAAGTCCCCCAGGCTGAGGAGAAGCTGGGGTCTGAGGCCCCCAGTGCTTTGCCCCTCTGTCTATCTGCCCTGTCCTGGGGTGATGGACAAACAGATGACCACAGGCAGGAGAATCTGAGATTGGAAGCCTCTAGGCTGAGCCATCTCTGGGACTGGCTCCACATCCCTCACATCTGCAGCCTGGTCTGCCTGCCCCCATCTCCTGCTCTTTCTTGGCTGGCCTAGGTAGTACCAGGAGTCAGTAGGGAGCCTGGTGGGAAGCAGGGGGTGCCTAGAGCTTTCAAGAAGTGAGAGCACCAACCTGAGGAATGGAGAGGGACCAGGAAGAGATGGACAAAGGAGATACTTCTAATCTCATCTCAGACCCTAGAGGAGTCCACAGATGGGGACACAAGACCCAGCCAGCCCACTGGATGGCCTGGGCAAGTAACAGAACCTCTCTGTGCTTCATCTGAGGGCATGATGAGTTACCCTCGGCCTCCCAGGGCCTACACGAGTTTCATGTGAGTGGACAGGTGTGAGCTAATAAAGTGCTTTGCAAAGTATAAAACACTGTACAAACCTATGAATCACTAATATCTCTGCAGTTGTTCCCTGCCTGCCCCAGGGAGCCTGCCCTTGGCCAAAATGAACAAACAAGGATGATGACAGGGGACACAGTGGACCCACACAGGCGCCTCTGGGACGAGAGATTTTCCTTGAGACAGCTCCCAGGGCAGCAGGAGTACCTGTCTGTGCTACAGGGTAAGCTGACCCAAAACCCAGAGGCCACAGGGTGGGGGCAAGACCCATGTGGGCTCAGAGGGCAGGGGTGGCATCTTGGACTCTGCCAGCACCCTGAAGACTGCCTGACACCTCTTTTTGGCTTTGGCAGAGAGCCAGCAGGCATTGCTGACCCCATTGGTCTTGCCTAGGGCCTCTCAGTGACAAGCAGAGCTCCCTCTGCTGGACCAGGGCTGAGAACCCTGCCAGAGACAGTGAGGGGTGGGCCAGAGGTCTGAAAGGGAGGCCCCTAGGCTTGGGGCTGCTACCAGTTGGGGGTGCCCTTTAACTGAGAGCAATGCAGGAGCTGGGTCAGCAAGGGCCCCGGGGTGAACTCTGCTTCTGGGCTGAGAGACTGAGTCAGCCTCAGGGGGATTTCAGGAGTGTTCCAGAAGGCTGCCCTGGATTCCCTAACTCTTCCTGTATTGGCCCTGCAGCCATCTCTGCTTCAACTAGTCAGGCTGAGCCCCAGACCACAAGTGCCAGGCTGGGGCAGGGCTGGGGACAGGGCAAGTGGGGAAAGGAACAAGGATAATGGGAGGGAGTGGAGGATGGTCATAGACTTGGATCAACCTCCAGAAATAGGGTTAGCTTCTGCCCCAGCTCTGTAGCCTCATGAGCAGGGACCAGCTCTTGGGGTGTCTGGGCGCTAGAGTAGCCTTAGCAGCACCTTGGTCCTAATCGCCTGGGGGAGGGCCATCACACTGGCTTCATCACCAAGACAGTCATCTCTAGTTCACCTAACGCCTCAAGCAGCCTTTGCAAAATAGGACTTTAAACAGTAGTGACAGGACGTTTAAATATTCACGATGTGACAGCTGGGTCCTTGTCAGACCCAGGTGGGCCACAGCTTTGCCTGCAGCATGTGACCCTAAGTCCGGGGTCTCAAAGGAGACCCTGACAGGTGGAGCAGGTTTCCTGAGGGATCTGCCATGTGCCAGCAGGGGAAACCCAGGCTTGTTGCCCACTGTGTCGGCAGCAGGGGTCCTGTAGCCTTGGAGAACAGTGGGGTGGGGGTAGGGGGACATCTGACCAGCAGGTGTTGGCAAAAGGGGTCTGGGACTTGTGGCATCTCCCAGATGGAGGATGCGAGCTAATGCTGGCTTCCCACAGGGGTGCCAGGTCCCAGCCAGGAAGACACTGCAGGATGCAGTAACCACAAGGGCTCTCCTGGCACAGTTTCTGCTTCCTGGTGGGGTCTGGCCTACTCCTTTGAATAGAGAGTAGTTCACCCAGGACAGAAGGCTGGCAACTGGGTGCCAGACACCCACCCTGGGGCACAGCTCCCCTTGCTCCCTGCCCCACACTCAGCCTCGGCCAGTACACCCACCACTTCAGCTATATGACCCTGGCTTAGGGCCCTGCTGGCCCCGGTGGGCAGTGGCCAGAGCTGCCCCTCAGACCCTAGTAAGGGCCTGGTTGGCCAGACCGAGTGGACAGAGAGGGCTCTGGGCTACTCACACCCACTCCTGGACTGGCCGCTTATAGTAAGTGACAGGCTGAGGGCCTGCCTTGTTCTTGAACTGGAAGATGGTGTAGACCAGCACCAGGATGCAGAGGGAGAGGATGCAGGGGATGACCACAGCCACAGCGTTCACAGAGCCTGGCACGTCGTTGATGGTCACCATGATGTCCACGTCGTCCTGGGGCAGCCGCCGCTCCTTGCGCCGCTCCACCTCCTTCTGGTTGCAGCCCATCCAGTCCCGAAGGATGTTTCGTGGGTAGCCTGGTTCCACGCTCAGTTTCTGGTTGTCAAACTTCCAGTAGTCCCGACCCTTGTAGAAGTAGGTATAATCTGCAGAAAAATGGGCCAGCGTCACCACTCCCAGACACTTCCTAGCGCTCAGAGCGTGAGAGAGAGGGCACGTGGTGCTGGAGTAGTGAGGGGAGGGCCCTGCTTGCCTGAATCAGGTGAGTATGGGATATAGCTGCAGGGAGGGACACCCCTGTTGTCTCAAAGGTACTGGGAAACCACTGAGGGGCTTTAGATAGAACTGAGACATGTTTCTGTTTGTGCTAGGGTCATAGCTCTGTTACACTGTGCCCACAGGCCCCTTACATGGGTCCCATCAAGTCCCCAATTTAAGGCTTGGACAGCACTTGTCTCCATAGTTCTAGTCTAAGGCCTCAGTCTGGCTCATACCTGAGCCACGGGAGGCAGGGAACAAGATTTCTCCTTTTGCTGACAGCACTACCTTTCTGTAATGAATTTTTTTTTTTTTTTTTTGAGACAGAGCCTCAAGCTATCCCCCTGGACAGAGTGCCGTGGCATCACTGCTCACAGCAACCTCCAACTCCTGGGCTCAAGCGAGTCTCCTGCCTCAGCCTCCCAAGTAGCTGGGATCACAGGCGCCCGCCACAACGCCCGGCTATTTTTTGGTTGCAGCCATCATTGTTGTTTTGGCGGGTCCGGGCTGGGGATTCGAACCCGCCACCTTAGGTGTACGTGGCTGGTGCCTTAGCCGGTTGAGCTATAGGCGCCGAGCCGTCTGTAATGAATTTTTTAGGCTTAACATCACTTTACAACACAGATCCAGAGTCTTTGGAACTGTTCTCAGGGAGGGACTGGGCAGCCCTGCCAATCATCCCTGAGCAGCCACCCCAAGGCTCCAGCAACAGCCATCCACAGAGGACAAAGCAGCTCATTCAGACTCTCATTGGCTGGCTCCCCACCCTGGCTGAGACTTTCATTGGTCAGGGTCCTTGATGTCACTTGTCTCTGAGGCTCCAAACAAAAGCATCAGATATACAGGAGAGCCAACAAATAGCTATGCCCCTGTAGCCACAGGCTTTCCTGCCAGTGACACCTCCTGGGAGTGCCCCTCCCCTGCTGTCTCTAACGTGGCTCTCTCTGGCTAGTTGATATGTCATAGCATTTATTTCCCTTATACTATTTGTTGCCACCTTATTTGTTTTCTGCCACTAGACTGGGAGCTATGCAAGTCTTGTTCACTGCTACATCCCAGCTCCCACCATAGATGCTGGCTCTCAGTAACTACTGAGTGAATGAATGGAATGGATCCTGTCATTCCACAAAAACTGAAATGCACCAACAAGATGATGATGGTAGAGATGATGGCAGCCAAAACGTATATAGCATGGACTGTGTGCTAAGCATTATTCTAAGTGCTTTGTTTAATTCAGCTTATTTAATCCTCACAAAGCCATTATATAAAGGTAGAGGCCATCGTTATCCCCATTTTATAGATGAACAAACTGAGAAAACATATTAGTGACTTGCCCAAACTCATAGTAGTGAAGGCAGTGTGAGAGCCCAGCCAACCTGGCTCAGGACATCCTGGTTTGAGAAACGAGCTAGTGGCAGACACCTGCTTCATGTCTAGCTATGTCCACATAGTAAATCAAGTTCAAATGTTTAACAAATAGAATCAGAATCTGCTCCCCCGACCCTGCCGGCCTGGCCCTTACGTACAGCCTTCCTTGCTGATGAAGGCCCCTTGGGGGGCCTGTGGGATGCCCTTCCACACGGTGATGGGCTTGGGGTAGCCAGGGTCTGTGGCTCGCCGCTCCTCACTGTAGCGCCAGTACCGCTCGCCTTTGAAAAAGTAAGTCTTGCCCACAGGCTCCCAGCGCAAAGCTGTGTCGATGCCTTCCCGGGGTAGACAGCTGCCCAGCTCGCCCAGGCTGTGAGGGTACCCAGGCTCCACCGTCACCTCCTTAAACACCCAATACTTGTCACCTGTAGTCAAGAGGAGCCCAGGTCAGCTTTCCACTATCATCCAGGGCCAGAAGTATGGCTAGTGCCACTTGCCTGGCATCGGAGTGTGGGGGGAAAGAGATCCTGAGGCCTGCTTCATCCCCTTGGCCCTTAGTCTGGTAAAGATTGGAGGGCAGGAAGCCAGAACCATCATGGATTATGAACACCACATCTCAGGCTGCCCAAGCTCCCCACCCTCTTTCCATGTGACATGCTTCTTTCCTCTCTGGGGACTTTGGCCACTCCCATGACTTCCCACACACTCCTGTCCCCCTCCCCCACTGCCACCAGTGACACCAACTCCTCTCCAAACACCTTGGCCACCTGTGGCCTCCCGGAGCTCCTCATCTGCACTGCAGCAGGTTCCCCCCTCATTGCCTTCTCCCTTCCTGGTCCCCAGTAGGGACCCTCATCTTTTCTTCTCTCAGCATTCAGCCACTTAGGAGCATTCCTTGCAGCTTGCCTGGCCCTCTAGCCTAGATGGTGCTCTCCTCATCTTTAGAAATGATTGCCCTGCCTCTGCCCTATTGTGTCCCTGCCAGCCGTAATGGATCTGGACCACATCCTGGCCTGGCAACCATGTCTCTTCAGGGTGCACCCCAACCTCCCTCTCCAGGCTGCTTCTCACAGCTCTCTGTGGCCAGCAGGTGGGTCTGCTAACCCTTTGGACATGCATGCGTGCCCCACCCACCACTCCTTCACCCAGGCCCTCTGTCCCTCTGGAATGCTCTCCTTGCTTCTTACTATCTATCTCACCCATCTTGGGCCTGGCCAGAGTCAGGAAAATTGTCATGAAACAACCCAGCACAGTGCCAGGCACAGGAGGGGCACCTTATCTCCCTCTCCCCTCCCTTCCCTCACCCGTGCAGCCTGTATGGCCTTCCCTCTCTGGGCTCTTACAGGAGTGACAGGAGAGCCTTCCATGGAGCACTGGGGTGCCCATTCTACCCTCTGCTTCATGTGGCTGAAGCTTGTCACCCCACCAACCTTGGCACATAATGCTCCTCAGTAATCACTTCCTGACTTGATTTCTGCAAACTGTGCATCACCTGCCTTCTGGGGCCCGTCCT